AGAGCCATCTGCTGGGCACTGTCTGTTATTGCATTTCTGTTTGATCCTGCATCCCTAATAAAAGCATTTCTTTCTGATTTGTCATTGTTGATCTGTTTGCTAATTGTGAAAACAACAAGCTGGAGAAAAATCAAGTAACCTCGCCTTTCTGGGCTTGCGTAGTTTTAGTTCAGTGCTATGAGAAACAATCCCATGCATGTCGAGACTGGAAAAAGTCCAAAACTCCCAGGCATAGGATTGCACTGTAAATGAAGTTCCATAATTGGCTAGAGGTACCAGGAAATGGGCAGGTGGAGAGCTAAATGCTGAGAGAAAGATCTAATGTTAAAGCTAGAACTGCCCCATTTTTAGGTACTCAAACACACATGTGCCACAGTTTCTGAAGGCTGCCTAAATGATGATTCAAGTTCTAGGCCGAAAGATGCAGCTGCAAAAAAAGGCAAATGCTATGTTGCAGGAGTGGCCAAACTTGCTCAGTGTAAGAACCACATATGGTGAAGGTCTGATGTTTGAGGGCTGCAAGACACACAAATAAAATGGCTTGACTAATCAATTAACATGTATTTCAGCTAATGCAAATCCTGTGCCCACTCAACCTAGGAGTAAACGCCACCAAACACAGTAGGACTTAATGCTGAGTGGGCTTGTTAGGGCACCACTATGCTTTCAAGCCAAAATGATTAAAAACCTTTTGGAGTGCGATGCTTCTGTTTGCTTTTTAGCTCTGCCTCAGTCTGCACCTTGTCTGAGCAGGTGTGTTCTATCCCATGCTGCTCCATGCTAGAGGCAAATAGGGACCGTCTGCACTGTAGGTTTTTTCAGCCCCTCTGCGAGACACAAAATAACCCCCAAGGGGAGCATGTGGCTCACGAGCCTTGCTTTGGCCACGCTGGTGTGTTAGGCTGCATTGATAGAAGTATAGCTTCCGGATCACGTGCAATATTGCTTCTGCTGTATTCAGCACTAGTTAGGCCCCATCTGGAGTGCTGCATCCACTTCTGGGCTCCACAATTGAAGCTGGATGCAGACAGTCTGGAAAGGGTTCAGAGGGCAACAAGGATGATCAAAGAGACAAAGCCCTGTGAGGAGAGAGTAAGAGAACTGGGCATGTTTAGCCTTGAGGAGACTGAGTGGAGATAGGCTAGCAGGTTTCAAGTCCCTCAAAGGCTGTCACAAAGAGAAAGGCCAGGATCTCTTCTTGATCATCCCAGAAGGCAGGACACAGAATAACAGACTCAAGTTACAGGAAGCCAGATTCTGGCTAGATATCAGGAAGAACGTTCTAGCTGACGGAGCAGTACGGCAATGGAACCCATGAGCTAGGAAGGTGGTGGGCTCTCCCACTCTGGAGGCATTCCAGGTGCAGCTGGACAGCCATCCCAGAGGGATGCTTTACCTTGGAGCCCTGCACTGAGCAGGTCAGATTTGATGGCCTTCTTGACCCAGTCCGACTCTGTTATATGATTTCATGATACCTCCATGCAATGCTATAGCTGTGCCAGGGGGTTTACTAGAAGCTCGAAAGATTTTGGGCCCACACTTTCAATTAGCATCACTGAAATTGTTCACCTACTCCACCAAACTGAATTGCAGTATGCAGGTGAGGGGATCAATGGGTTAACCCTTCCCTTCCCCAACTGTGGTCCCACTAGACTTGGGGTGGGGGGACACCTTCTTTTTGTTGGCATCTCTGGATTGCATGGAACAGACCTGGGGCTCTGACCTCCGGGCCCAGGCCTATCATTGTTCAAACATTTAGTGAAACGTGCTCCTGTCTGTCCAAGCAATCTTTTCTTCTGTCCAGCAAACAAGCTTTGAACCGTGTATGTCTATCCCCTCGCCCTGCCCACAATCCTTTTCTTTGAATTTGCGACACAGTGGCTTTCTTCTTAAGCCTTTGTCCAGTGAAGGCACTTGCAGAATGGCTACAGGTGGTATTGGGCAGAAGCCCACCTTCTTCACCTGGGGCTGAAGAACAGGGTCAGGGGTGGGGGGAAGTGGCCAGCTGGCAAGGAAGGGCCTCCAGTAGCATCGATCTGGCCTTTAAAATGTGTAGTATAAATCTTACGGTGTTTTGATGTTGTTTGCATTTTATACTGTGTTCTTATTGTTATTTTATGTGCTGTTGTGAACCACCCAAAGAGCGTATCAATAAAATGAATGAATGAATGAGTAAATAGAGGTCCATCATGCTGATGACATTTTAAAGACTCCCCCTGTCCCACCTCACCAGTGCCCATTGGCTTCACGGACACTTACAGAACAACTTCCTGGGAAAAGCTCAGCTCCACTGTTGTTGTTGTTACTATTGTTATTATTTCTCTTTCTATACCACCTGTAGCTGGAGTGCTCTGGGTGGTTCACTACAGGATATAAAAACAATACAATACATAAAATGTTTTAAAATTAAATAAAATAGTATTAAAATACATTAAATATAATGAAAAAGACCCAGCCAACAAGAAAGAAATCAAAAGGCACCTGGGTAAACCCATCAGGCCCCTGGATGACTAGGGCGATCCTCAAAGGCTTCCACAGAGGCCTTTCTTACCCTGGTGCCAAAAAGATAGCAAATCTGGCGCCAAGCAGGCCACAGCAGGGAGGTTGTTCCAAAGAAGAGGGGCCGCCACAGAAAAGGCCCTCCCTCGAGTTGCCAGCCTCTGAGCCTCTTAAGGGGTTGGCATCCAGAGGAGCCCCAGAGAGTGAGTGCTGCATCCAGGTAGATTGAGGTTGAGAGCTCCAGCAGGTATGGTGGCTCCAAGCCATGCAGGGGTTGATGGGTTAAGACCAGCACCTTGAATTGGGACCAGAACTCTTTCTCACAAGGGCCATGACTGTGAGCTGTGCTGTCTCCAGGTTAGGGGCCTCTGGGCAAGGCACCCTCAGTGGGGCCCGCCCCTTCAGCAAGTCTACCTTCTTGGCCACGGTCACCATCTGCTCTTGGTCCTCATCCTTTCTCAGCCTTGGTACCACTTGCTTGGCAGGCAAGAACTCCAATGAACAGCTAGGCTTTGACATGTGGCATCTCTTCCACCACTGTTGTCCAGGCCCGAAGAAGAGGCCGGAGAACAACTCAGCCTCTTGCAATGGTGAAGAGGAGGAACCAATCCAGGAGACTCTTACCCACCCTCCCTGGGGTGTGGGCCCTTGGAAAGTGCCCAGGCAGGCTCACTTTGATGAGGGCACCAGTGCTATGGAAGACTGATTAGCAGTCAGAGAAGATGCGTCTGTGAAAGCGCATCTGGAACTTTACACAAGTGGCTGCCTGAAATTCTCCACCCACCAAATATTCTCTAGCTAATGGAGACATTCTCCAGGGGTTTTGTTGGGGTGGGATTCACCATTGGTAGGAGTGGTGGTCTTGCTCCTTTGTGTCCCAGAGGAGGGTGTCTATGTTTCTGTGTCCATGTGCGCTGCCGCCATCCCTGCAGCGGCTGTGTTCGTAACCTAGTCACCATTTTGTACCCATGTTGCAACCTGGTGTCATTCCAGGGCATTCCGGCATTCAACAATAACAAGCGGATGAATGAGAATCATGAGTTTTGCCTGCATGGAAGAGAAAATGGTCCGAGGAAGCACTAACCCATGATCAAACTGCCAGAAATCATGCTAGAAAATGATTTATGGCATTGTTTATTTCTTTATAACAAGTATCTCAGGAAATCAGCTTGCAAAGCAATTCCTTGGAAGTTGGAGAGGGAAAGTCAGCGTGGGCAGAATTGCCGGTTCCTAAGGCTTTCTAGGCTTGACCTGGCCAGGGTGAAGGTGGCCTTCGATTCTGCGGTGCATAACTTATCTTCCACATGTTCCCATGCATTCTTGTTCCATGCGATAGAAATTAGTTCAGAAAGGGAAAACAGCTCAGAGGAGAAGAAAACTTCAGTGATGTTTTGATGGGTGGGTTGGGGGTTCTTGCGTTCCCTTGCTTATGAGGGGGCTGAGGTGCGTCCCGAGGGATTTTGTGTTGCATTCCTTCTGGCAGCCTACAGCCTCCCTGGCTTCCCTCATTTCAAGTACAGTCTGAGGAAAAAGGAGACCTCAGGAGGAGGCTTCTCCTGCGAGGGGCCTCCTCGGAGCAGGAAGTGTGGGCAGCCAGGGAGGCTGCAAAACGATGCTGCTGCCCCAGTGTGCCCTGCCGTGCCTGGAGCGGAAAGCATGGCCATCAACCACATCTCAGAGCTCTGCTTGCAAAGATGAAGCTGGCTGCATTTAACCACACTGATGGCGCCATCCAAGGTCATTGCCATAGACCAGCACAGCTACTTTAGAATGGCTCAGATCAGGTCTGATTTAGCTTAGACATGATGCATTTGCTCTAAGCATGATTTAATCTAAATCCATTCCTTTATCTCTAGGAATGTCAGCAGGACAGTAGCACACATCAAGTTTAGTCCATAGCCGCCCCGAGGCTTCGGCAAGGGGCGGCATAGAAATGTTATAATAATAATGATGATGATGATGATGATGATGATGATGCTTCCTTCCTTCCTTCCTTCCTTCCTTCCTTCCTTCCTTCCTTCCTTCCTTCAAAAAATCTACCTCCAGAGAAAGGCATTTTCCATGCTGAGGCAGTTGAGGAAGTGCTGTGCTCTATACAGGATTCTGGACCAAGTTTTAAGGCACTCCCGGAATGCAGCTGAGTGCTAGCTAGGCCTTTTGGATAGCTCTATTTCAACATGTGAACCAAACACGGGTGGCCATGTGTCATTACCAGTTTTCTCACTGACGAACATCAGACAAATAAGCTTTCAAGCAAGTGCGGGATCCCCAGAACACAGTTTGAACACCGCTGCTCTAGGCAAAACTGGACAGCCACCTGAGAGGGAAGGTTTAACTGGGAGTCCTGCACTGAGCAGGGGGCTGGACCTGACGACCCTCCAGTCCCTTCCAACTCTACGAGTCTATGATGGCAACAACCACAACATGGCCTTGTACATTCTAGCACTTGCATCATGAATTTCTGCAATTTAAAAATAAGTGAGTAACAACAGACTTGGAAGTGTATTAAATACAAGCCAGTTTATTGCACTCAGGTAAGATACATACGCACATCAGAGACAGGATGTTGCAGAATTACCACCGGTTTGTTCAGAACCAACCACAGGCTGCTGTCCCCTTTAGGATCTAGGACTGTCCAAATATATTTCCTGAGGGGGCAGTATTGAGCAGCGTTGTACAGAAAAGGAAAACTTGGCAGATTGCGGTTGCACTGTCCAACAGTGAAAAGACATAGGAGTTACGCCCCATATTCGATCTGGTCATCCTAATGCAGAGGCCCAGTTGGAAACCCTTCCCTGCCATATGCCGGGAACTCTGACATTCAGCTAGGACAGACCCAAAGCCTTTCACTTTTACCACAGCACGGCCAATGAGCCCCTCGCCCCGCCATGCGTTCCGGTGCTCTGCTTTCTCCCCAGAATTGCTCCCTTTTTGCTGGAATTTAGCATGTCCTGCAAGAAGCCACCCTCCTCCATTTTCTCCTGATCACAAGGAAGCAGTACCATTTTCTAAGGACAAAGTCTGAATTGCGGCTTTTGCTCACAAAAATGTCCCCGAGGAGTCTGCTATTACCGATTTGGAAGTACCCCTGAAGTACAGATGTTTCATTCGTCCTGGGAAGTCAAGATTGTTTCATCTGAAGTGACTTCGAGGATTGCAAGTGGGCCATGTTGATTTCCTGTGGACTTTCGTCACTTTGCCTGCAGTTTGCATATTTTAAAAGAACGCTGATGAAATTTGCACAAACTGTGCTCTCATGGCATTGTGTGCATTTTGTATAAATTGGTGTCTGAAAAGCACAAGGATCTAGCGCAGTTTGTGTAAAATTGGCCTTTGGGTACCAACTCACAAGGACCACCTGCTTTCGGGAGGACTATTTTTGCAAAAGATCTGATTTTGTGCAAATCTCACTACATCCACATGCTTTCTGGGTGCCAATCTGCACACATGGTGAGCATTTACAAATGTTCTTAGCATTTTTAAAATGCGCAATTGCTGCCCGCCTTAGAGACCAAAGTCCATAGTGAATTGGCCCAGCACAGGGGCTGGCACACTGGAATCTGGGGGGCGGGGAGGGTGATTGTGAAAATCTGTCCTATTCCCCACATCAAATTCCTCACATAGCCCAAGCTGTACACTGTTCTTGGGATCTTTGCAGTCATCATCTGATCACTAAACTTGCCAGAACTGGCTCCGTCTTCCAACTGCTTGTGTCAATCTTCTCCATCCAAGTGTCTGCTGGACATCTTCACTACGACTCACATCATTTGCAGCCAGCATTGCCACTGGGGAAGATGAGCGTTGCATTCCAACACATCTGGAGAGCACCAGGTTGGGGAACGCTGGTTTCGCTCACGATCAGAGCCAGATGTAGTCCAAAGAATCCGTAACATGACCACGATCTCTTTTTTGCAAAATGCATCATCTCATTCAGTAGCACAAATTTGTCTGATTAATATTGTTACTAAAGCTCAGCATACAAAATTATTTCTACATTTTCATCACAATATTTGAACACCCTCTGAGTAAATATACAGAATGTGGCAACTATGTACACATCTGTGGTTTGCCACTCTGATTACAAACATCATGAGAGACAATTATTAGAAGAGTACAGCCCGTTCCCGTCACTGACACCAAAATGGTTTAATTCCATTAATGGGACAGCTTCCCTTGGGTTCAGACGAGGAAACAAAGCAAAACAAAAACACCATTTGAGTCATCCAGTCTGCCACAGAAAAAGGGTTTGAAAGGAAAACGGTTGTATTAATCATATGAATACTTTGGCCGGAGCTGTTCTTGCAAAGAGAAGCAGAATTATCTTGAACTGGAAAGAAGATGGTTTTGCCTTCAGTTATGACTGAGACTCTGCCTGCGTGTGTCCGAGACTGAGCTGGCAGAAGGACGCCTGTGGTGGACTGTATTTTTATCTGTTTTTATCTGCATTAAATTGTTAGATGCTTCTCTCAGAAAAAGACCCTAGGCACCTTACCACAGGCACCAAAACATATACAACTTTAAAACAGTTTCAGACAGCTAAAAAAGGATTAATAATATAATACCAAAATCTGACCAATCAGCTAAATTAAACTTTGGAAGTACCACCCAGTGTGGCCAAATGCCTGTAATCACAGGGGGAGTCTTGAGCTGGTGAAAATGCTGATGCTGGCCAGAGCTTACAGGCCAGGGCGTTTCACAACTGGGGGCCGCCACTGAAAAGGCCCCTTCCTGCCTTTCCTTCTCTAAGCCTCTCTTGGAGGAGGGTCTCGCAGCTGATTGCCGCATTTGGGCAGGTGCCCCCTCAAGTCTCATGCTCCTGAGCCCCATAAGCTCAACCCCAGTACTTTCAACTGGCCTTGGAAACACACCGCCAGACCCCAGAGCAGGCCAGAACAGTGTTTTCGAAATCTTCCAAGCTAGCACAACTAGCAAGGTGGGAAAAACTTTAATCCACCTTGATCTTCTAGTTTAAAAAGTGCAAGGATTTTTGTTTTGTTTTGAATACAAAGCAGTCTTCAAAAATGCTACCCTTCCACTGGAGTGGCACAGTCCTTTCCAGTACCCCAGAAACTGGCCACCTCACTCAGAGGGATGCACGATCCAGGTATTGCTCAAAGGCCAGTGCAGAGCCAACATGGCCAGGAGATGCTGCGGCCAGAACGGCTCAAGTGGCCGCCCTCTGCAGCGAGCCACCGATGGGGAACAGCGCCCAGTCTTCCACTGTGGGCTGGCCTGGGCCTCCTAGGCCAAGCTGCACAAGGATACCTGGCTGTGCAGCAGGGTCTTCCTGGTTCTGGTGCACAGGCACACGCATGCCTTCCTCTCTATTGGCATTATAGTACCAAGTCCGTGAACTCTAGTACTGGGGTGAGAGGAGGGCTGCTCTGGGCAGTGACCTCAAGGACTGCTGTCTGGACTCCAGGGGAATCAGAATCCGAGCGGTGGGTGGGTGGCGGTGGGTGGGAACGGGGGCCATGCTAGGACACCGAGATGAGAGAAGCAGAGAGGCTAATCCCAAGGCCAGATTCCCCAGGTAGGCAGCCAAGATGCACTGCTCAGCCCCATGCTCTTGACCCCATGATGTGTCATCAGCATGGCAGGGCGGCCCCATCAGAGGATCCGCATGCAGTGTGGAGGCAAGCTTGCTCTTCTGAAGGGATGGGGCCGAGGCATGCTCATAAGGAGAGTTCCTGGAGGTGCACACTAGCTTGGGATCAGCAAGCCACTCTGTGCGTGCTCAGAGATTCATTCTGCGTGTTTTGTGCTTTTGGTCAATAAAGAATGCTTTGCAAGGAGATCGGTGGCTTTCGGATGCACAAAGAAGGAACCTCAGCTCCCGACATCTAGATGCCTGCATACTAAAGGTGTTTAAGGGAAGAGCAGCTCGGGGCTGTGCTGTCGTTAAAACACATTAATGAATGTTTGAAGCTGCAGTGCCATCTTCAGTCACTAGGTGGCCAACCAGTACACAGTTTTCCAGTCAATAGTTTGAAGTCACGGGGAAGTTGTCTGAATGGCTGTTATATGGCTGTGCACCCCCACCCCATGTAGGACAGCCCCCTGGGTACGGCGTGGCAGACCCTTCCCTCAGGGGACTACAGAAGTGCGTCATGGCAAAGGCCATGCCTGGTGGTGTCAGTGGACACGGGTACTCTCAGATGGGGTGGACAGCTCTACAGCTTGGCTTGAAAGATTCACTGTACAAAACTCAGCACGGTTTCAACTTGTGCAGACTTGGCCCTGTTCACTAGCTGATAAAGCTGAGCACTTGCATTTCCTGTGGCCGTACCACTGAAACACAAAGTACTGTACTTGGTCCCACAGGGCTTTCAGTGGTCAGCCTGAAATGGGAGAACTTCCAAGCGGTGCTTGTCAGGGTCAGCTTAAAAGCTTCCTGCTGTTGGGTCCCAGAAATACTATTTAGGGCACACTCCCTTTGGCTGCTGAGAGAGTTTGGTCTGGGATCACCTGAAAGAGTTTCATCTGACGTGAGGTTAACCAAAGTCCTGTCTCTGTGGCATGAAACCAGAGCAAAATGCATATAAAGCAAGAACTTTCATAAGGCACATTCTGAAAGTGCTTTTACATTTGGAAATCCCTTGCGCCTTGGCACTTTCTAATACATAACCAAAGGCTCCCCAGACAAAATGTAGGCTTCACCCCATTACCACAACTATCTCCCATAGCAGACACTGCAGAGGAATGTACGGCAACAATTCTTTTTTTAAGTTTTCTGTCTTGTGGCACCACCTGCAGGGGAAAATAAAAATTCATTTTCTTCAATGCCATGTCAAAGTACAGTGGCTGCTCAAGTTGGAGCTTTGTGTCATGCACGGATTCTGCCTGGGCTGGAATCTGCTTAGTTCAAACCCTGTTGGAGCATCGCAAGCCCTTGGACCACATTATGGAACTACAGCTTAGCATTATATCAGTTCATACACTTTCCAAACTGAACATGATCATGAAACGCAAGTAGATTTTTCCTTGCACTTTGTGTCTTCCACCCAATAAACTCCAAGGGCCTTCACAAAATGGCCTTGGATAGAATTGCTTGAATATTTAATAGCCTCCCCCCAATAATTGCCCTGCTAGTCAGATGAATGTTTTAAAATTAATCTAACAAACTTGACTTGGGCTTCTTGATTTTTGTTCATCTAGATCACATGTGGGCAACCTGCAACCCACAGGTGGCCCCTGGGAAATTAGCTTGCAGGTGCCCAGCTAAATTTGGTGTTGCCAAATTAAGGCTGGTTGCAGTTGCTCTAGCAGACATGTTCTCTGCGGTTAGCCCTGTGAACATTGTGGCTAAAACGTCTGATAGACTATTCTTGAGGACCATGCTCTCTATGGTCAGCCAGGCAAGTGCTAGAGCATCTCTTAAACATTGCTCTAAAAGGTATGCTCAGGGGACTGAGCATAGAGGGCACAGTGCTAGAGTGTCTAGCGCCAAGAGGTCAGTGTTTCCCCATAGATTTAGGGAGCTAGGCTTCCATGGGACAGTGGGAGAGAGAAGGCTTAATTCTGTCCCTTTGGGATCCCAGGATTCTTGATGGTTCAACCTCAGGGGTTGATTCAGAAGAGGAAAATCTAAATGTGGGTTCAGAGGGATGGTCTTAATCTACACCTTGCTAAAAATAATGGACATATTGGAATCTTGCTCCATATCATTTCCACTTGTGATAATGCACAGTAAAAAAAGAAAAAAAAAAAAAGAAAAGAAAGGCATGCTAAAGAATCATCTTGATCACAGAGTAACTTATTTAGAAATCGTATCATTTCTTTTACCCGGTTATGCTATAGCCGCTTGTAATCAGAAAGCAAAGGCGGTGGAGTAACCATGCAGTTGCAGGGACGGCCATCTTCTTTGTCTCAACACAGGTGAACTCTGAATGAAGCCCCACTGATCGACGGAGGGGCTGGAGACTTCTTGGGGCACCCAACAGCCACGGGGCCCATAATTAGAGTGTAAGGACTAAGAATATTAATTTGGTCAGGGCTCTGGCTAAAGGGGGGTGAACGCTGGAGGACGGCTCGTCAGGGAGGTGCTTGCTCAGCCAATGCACTGGGTCACGCAAGAGATGAGTCAGGTGGGAGTCAAGGAGAGGCACGTTTCCCTCTCACACTCCGTCTCTGGGGAGGCCTGTGTGACATTAAGGATGCCAGAGAAATCCACAGCAGATTCAAATGAGTTTGGATTTGTATGACTCTTCCATGCAGTTTCCGCTTCATTTTTTTCCAAGACACATGGGCTCTGTGGACTCTGCTTTCACTTTATTGAGGGAGGGATTTGCACTAATTGGCAGGTGTGAAAGTACACATTAGCTCTAGTGCACAGCTGTGCAGAAGTATGATCGCACATTGGTTAATGCAAATCAGTGCTAGCTCATATTAACTAATCTGTATTAGCACATCTATGCAGGTGTGCATTAGTGCTTATGCATATTAGTGCATATTAGTGCAAAGAGAGCAACATTAGTTCAGAGCAGCCATTCCCAACACGGTGCCCTTCAGCTATGCTGGATTACAACTACCAGATGGTTGGGGGATACTGGGAATTGCAATCCAACACATCTGGAAGGCAGCCGGTTGGGCCTGGTTCAGTTAATTACTTTTATGCTTTGTTTCACACAAACAAACCTCCCCCTCCCTCACACCCTGTTTCTGCTGGTTCTGCAACTTCCTGTTAAGATGCTGTTTTTACAGTCCTTTGATGGTACCTAGTTTTAATTATCGGGTCTGATTGTCTTTCTTTTGTTTTGCAATGCTGTAAAACAGCTGTGGAAGGGTAGCACAGAAGACTGTGAAATACTAAAGGACCTTCCTGGGTGGGGATTGGGAAGATGGAGGAGAAGCAACGCCAAGGCCTTTATTCTTCTGGAGGCATAAATGTTCAGGCCACATGCCACCCATTTTTCCACCAAGAAGCAATTCCACAAAATACCTTTAAGCATACACAGCAACTTGTGTTTTACGTTTTCACTGCTGTGAATTGAGTTCCCTTCCTTCTTAGGGCCTGGCACCTCATGGCAACATTCCAGCTGCGGACTAGAGCATTCCCTTCCTGAAGCTCGAAAACCAGCAGGACAGCAGAGGTACGAATCAGGACTCCTCACTTCTGGATGAAAACATGAATCCCACCTTCTTGATTCCTGAGAAGGACTTGCATGGAACCATCAGTCCAGTGGAAAGACTGAGGGCATGCAGGGCGCTTGCTGGTCACTGAACTTACTCTAGCAGGAAGAGAGGTGGCTCTGCTTTCCATTTCTTTCTTGCTGGGTTTTTAGATTGTTTTTCGTAACCCAGTCTTTTCATTATTTTGATAAGCAGGCAATACGCTTCACACCCTGTTCTGGGAGTGCGCCAGGTGACCAGGATGGCTTTGGATCCTGTGAATCCACAGTTTCTCCCAGCCTGTCCACAGCTGGTCACCTGCTGGCTCCCTCCATCACTGGAGCACCAACGTTGGGGATGCCCTATCGGTGGACTATCTGCAGCTGCTGGGAGGAGGTTTTTGAGGGTACATCTTCCTCTTTTTCCATGGGGATCCACAGAATCCCACGGGCCCCGAGAAATCTGCAACAACCCATGGGTCCTCCTCGGAGATCTGCAACATTCCAGCAATGTTCTCCCAGGACTGCATTCCTAACGTACTACAGGGCTGTCTAAACCAGTGGTTTTCAACCACCAGTCCGTGGACTGGCACTGGTCCACAAGAGATTTCCTGATGGTCCTTGGGGGGCCACATCTGGCTTGCCACAGACCAGCACGGGGGCTGGCTGTGCTCCACCAACTCTTCCTTGGTTGGCATCACATTTGTGGGGGGGGGTGCCGGTGCCACCGGGGGGCCAGGGAGGGGAGAGATGGCTCGGTGGGAGCCAGCTGGGAGCTATGCCACACTGATTTCAGTATGTTGGTCTTTCGCTGGCATTTTTTGTTGCTCGGCTTCTCTTTGCTTTGGAGAATTTTCCTTTTTTGGTATAGTCTTTGGAAACTAATCTGCAGAATACTGTATTATGTGTTCAGTGCCCTTCTCCCTGCCTCAGCGGTCCCCAGGGTGCTTTTCCCAGTCCCCAGCTCTGGAAAGGCTGAAAACCACTGGTCTAAACAGTATCACTAAACTTTTTCAGCACTGGGCAAAGGGTTGGATTAAAACTTTGCTCATGGTTCTCTTCAGTCATGAAGCTTATTGGGCAGCCCGATCCTATGGCTTCAGAGAAGATGACCGTAACTGAAAGTGCATTTTTACAGATTTTAGGGAATGGAAAACAGGAATCAGACAAAAGGAAGGACGCCTGTTGTTATCCCGACACATCTGACAACATGAAGGGACTGAGCGAGACATTTTCCTGCCAGGAAATGATGATTGGCTGACACAGAGGACTTAGATCTTGGGTTCAGTCCTGAGCAACAGGAGTCTGGTGGCCACTCCAGTAGCTACAGAAATTGAACCCAGGCAGCAAAATCACTGTAAAAAAGCAGCAAATAACAACAACAGCAATAACAATGCACAAATAATTAGCTACAGAGGCAGAAACACAGCTTTATGTGGCAATGATCAATTGCATCATCGGGTGTGCGAAGTCCCAACGCGACGGTTAGTTCACATAGAGAAGGTGCCCTGACGGCTTACATACCTCACTGTATCTCACAAACTCTTTTTGTTTTATTATCTCCAGTATCAACCACCGCTTTTAAGTCAGTGTCAACCACTGCTTTCAAATAAAAGAGAGACACTAAATGTAGCCAGGCGATATTAGCAAAATCAACTGTAACAACATGGTTGTGGGGTTGACATCTATGGGCTGGGGAACAGGGGTGTCGCTTGATTAAAGACATCTTGGCTGATTAATTGTGGGGGTTTTCAGTTGATCAATCAATTAACTGGTTATATTTGCAGACAAGTACACTGTACCTTGGGCGTGAAGGGGAAACTTCACTTTTATAAAATTGATGTAGGTGTTGTACTAGAAGGTTATCGGAAGGTGTGTGAAGAAGCGACAATTGGGAGAACTCTTTTAAATGGGGCAGGGAAAGGGTTAAAGCTTTTTCCTCATCTGCTGCCATCCCAATTCCACTCCTCCTCACAGCTGCTATTTTAGAAGAATAAAATCATACATGCAACACCAAATTATGCATTTAATGTACAGTGTAATTTGGCCTTAAAAGCTACCATGGAAAAGCCAAGCTAATGAATGCAGCAGCTGCTGGAGGGAAAGGACGCCAACTTCAGACTGGCTTGGTGGTTTTTCATTCTGGACTCAAATCAAATTTCGGGTGGAGGACGAACATTGCAAACTTTCCAATGAAGCACTTTCCAACAGAAGCTTGTTTTTGGAACAAATTTGGAGACAGCCTTTTTGCTCTCTATCTGGAGCAGGAGTTTTCACTGTGGGCTAGAATATTTAATTCTAACAAAGCATTTTAGTAACATACAGTATGCTCTGCGGCAAGTTGTCTGGTGATCAATAATTATAAAACATTTTTGTGACTGATTTTCTTTAAACAAGTGCAAAGAATGTTGCCAACATATGAAAAAAAGGGTTTCCATTTTTTCATTATAAAGTAACAGTACATATGCAAATAATTTAACAGCATGAATCCATGTATAAGGCACTGTTACAGTGCTCGGTGGGAATACTTCCGAGAGTCTGCTTCTGTCAGTGGCAGAAATTCTTTTCTCCATGGTTGACAACAACACAATCTGGGCAAAATTAAATGTCTGGAAATCCTGCTGATTTCAGTGGGAGGGAATGATGCTCTTAATTTCTTCACTGAAATCAGTGTGTCAAATGCTTTGCTTTGGCTGATATCTGTCTTTGGTGTTTTCCTACCAAGGTCTTTAGGCTTCTGTTCCACCCTTTTGGGACACTGTGTGTAAATAACATCAGGTGTATGAAAATGCAATTTCCTTCTAAACTGGCAACTTTTAAACTAGACTTTTGGCACTGAGATTGAATTCAGGGATCTAAAAAATATGTTTGCTCTGGGTTTTATTTGTATCATCCTTTACCCATTTATTAAGTATTTAAAGAGAGACCATATTTAAAGAACAATCTAGTTATGCCTTGGAAAATCCAACTGCATGAATTGGGCCTTGTACACACACAACTAATCTGGGTAGCCCAGATGCATTACTTGTTTGTTCAGAACTGAGCTTCCACTGATCTCCATGGGACTTACTTCCATGCAAATATGCCCCAGATGGCATGTGTGGATTGCTTTGTGTGGACTGTCAAACAGTTACAGAAGAATTCTTCTGCTGAATCAAATTAGGAATGGAAATACCAGAAAAAAAATCTCTGATTTAAGAACTAGACTTCCATCCGTTAGTTAAAAGTATTTGTATCTTTAAGAACAGCAATATTTCTGTTTGAAAGGGGGCTCTGATGGGAAGTGGGGAAGAGGAAGATTTCCTCAGACTTTTCATTCAGTTTCTCCAGCCCTTCTCCACTGAGTGTACGGTCCTAGCAGTGGTGGCACCTCTCACCCCTGAGATGCTGGTGAAGAGCAGGAGATCATGCTCAGACTGAGTGTGCTTCAGTCATCAGCATGTAGTTAAATCTTATCGGGTCCATCAGGAAGTCAAATCAGAGTAAAGGCAAATGCTTCTTATCCATACTCCAGCATCTTGTGGTTAACAAAAGGGGGAAAATGGCACTCAGCGGGACAGGAGAGCATGGCGGCCATTCTCAAGTGAGATGAACATTTGGCCTTTGCTCTCGCACTGCCACAGAAGCCAGTGCTAGCAATTTGGATATCGCACTAGTGGGAACGATCTCTGGAGCAATGGGGAGCTAGCGCTTGCTAGCAGAACCCCAAAACGATCACTTTGCGGGTGGGACAAGCCGATGGAGTGCCCTTCTGTGTCTTCTGCTAACATGTGCCACCTGCAGGGATCGTTTTGGCTAAGCTTCTGTTGGACGATGCCAGTGCTGGCTTCCCAGTGCATTGGAATACCTCCTGCAAGTGCAGCAGTAACAGCTTTGGATCCTGCCTAAAGTCTGCAGAGGGCAGATGTACGAGATCTTTGTTTCTGCTCAGAATATGTGTGAGCGAGCCAAATAAGAAGCCCCAGCATGAGCATGAGCAAGGGCAGGTCTGGAAATATTCTTACATGCTTGAACATGTGCTAACATCCCTCTTGTTTCTGTTTCCCACTTCGATTTGTGCATATTTTCCCCACGGACGGAATCCGGCCCAAAACGGAGGAGGTGAGCTCTACCCTAGAGAGATTTGTGCACATTTGAGGGGAACTTGTGGAAATCTGCAGTTTGACTGCTGCTTGATTTGCCCAAGTTTCCTTTTTGCATGGTGAGCTGCAATTCCGAAAGGGAATGGGACATGGGCATGAGAGGAGTAGTGGGAGGAGGTGCTAAGAATCCTGCCGATCTCGAATACTCCTCATTTGTCCAGCTATGGCAAATCTAGACAGCATCCTAAAAAGCAGAGGCATCACCCTGCCAAACAAAAGTGTGTATAGTCAAGGCTATGGGTTTCCCAGTTGCAATGTATGACTGTGAAAGCCGGACCATAAGGAAGGCTGAGCGCAAAAGGATTGAGGCCTTTGTATTGTGGTGCTGGAGGAGACTCCTGTGAGTCCCTTGGACCGCAAGGCGATCAAACCAGTCAGTCCTAGAGGAGATCAACCCTGACTGCTCTTTAGAAGGCCAGATCCTGAAGATGAAATTCAAATACTTTGGCCACCTAATGAGAAGGAAGGACTCCCTGGAGAAGAGTCTAATGCTGGGAACAATAGATGGCAAAAGGAGAAGGGGACGGCAGAGGATGAGGTGGCTAGATGGAGTCACTGGGGCAGTCGGCATGAGCTTAAGTGGACTCTGGGGGATGGTGGAGGACAGGAAGCCCTGGAGGAATGTTGTCCATGGGGTCGCGATGGGTCGGACTTGACTTTGCAACTAGCAACAGCATCAAGGGAGTCTGAGCTTGCTCAAAGCCTCTGTGTAGGACTTCCAAGTTGTGTTTGGGAGGGCATTTGGGTTCAGACCTAACCAGGACCAACTGCAACCAACGTGGCCTACCTGAGTGGCTTTTGCTGTGCCTCTTCTTCTTCCTTCGCTTTGATGAGCCTCTCTGGCCATCCTTTTCCGCTTGTTCCAAAGGTACCGCTGCTGAACATGAGGAGTCAGTCACCGGTTCTTCCGAGAAAGACCTCTCCTGCGAGGTTTCCAGCAGGGAGTCGACAGAGAGTGTTTTGCTTTCTTTCGCTGCCTCTGGTGGCACCACGATCTGGGGGACCGTCACCTCAGGCTTCAGCAGCCCTGGGGTGTTTCCAGGCATTTCCTCTATCCCGCTGTCTATCCTGATGAGGTTGCCTCCCTGGTCCTCGGACTGGAAGGTGCTAGGTGAGCAAACAGTTCTGCCGGTTGTGTCTCCTGAGCCAACTGGCCCAGCTTGACTCATCGAGATGGACGAGTGGCCCGAATCCCCGCTGGCAAACTTTACGAAAGAGCTCGACAACACTAAGTCGTTGTAGTCCACAGCTGCGGTGCTATCTGAGCAGTCCTCCATTCCAGTCCTCTCTTGCAACTTTGCTTCTGAATTGCGACTCACAAACTTCCCAAAAGAGGTCGAACTTTGTGGCAACGCTAAGTCATTGAAATCGATGTTCTGGGTGGAGGAGGCGCCCGTCTTCTCTTGAAGACTTGTGCCGTTTTGTGGCTCTGCACCTCCTTCCAAAGCGAACGAATTTAAAGAGTTCCTCTGAGTACTGGGACGGGTTGGAGAACTCCCGGAATTTCCAACATGGCCAAGGGACCCCTCGGAAGCGGGAGAATCAGCAACAACCTTGTGCTTATCCTCCATGACGGCAGCCTCCAGAAGAGCTTTTCCTGACGGCCCTTGGAGGTGATTTGGTGTCGCCGCGCCATCCTCCTCTTTCTTCGTGTCTTTCGCCACCGGAACACTTTGGCCTGAAACTTGAGAAAATGCACGTACATCAACCCCACTTGGGTCCCTTTTATTTTGTGAATGACCAAATGCTGAGAGGCAAAGAGAAGTCGGCTTGATGCTCCCTGATAGCATCTGACTTACCCCTCCAGCTCTCCCCCCAGAAGCAATCAGGGGGCAAAACCGGAGCTCCTCTGACATGATGCCCTGCAGCTGAGTGTTTGTGTCATCAAAGGTGAGAGAGGATATAAAGCACGAGGGTGGGCAAGGGCCAACGACACGCGCCACTAAAGGCATCACTGCCGAACGAGCAAGGTTTTGTTCACTTATTTAGCAAGTGGGGAGCGCAGAAGGCGGGAGCCGTGCGTCCCCCCAGCCATGCAGCGTTCACGAAAACACCCCTCCCTGCTGCAATGGGCAATGTGAGAAAAGCTCCTGCTGGTGTAACATGGGAACTTTTTTCCTAACACAAAGTGCAGGCTGTGTGTACAATTTCAGGAATAGCCATCCGTAGTGGAAAAGCGCACCCCTTTAAAAGCGAGCATTCCGGGGCAGCCATACAACTCCTTGGAGGGAATGCCAGAGGGTAGAGTCCACCCCAAAGAAGACCCTCTCTCTAGCAGTCACCAAGCTCTCTGGTCACAACAGCAGTCCCATGAGTAGGCTCTGCAATTGTCACACTGAGTCTTTTACCAATTGGAAATAGATTTTTTTTCTAGAAAGAAAAGGAAGGAAGGAAAGGAGGGAGGGAGGGAGGGAACAAAGAAGGAAAGAAAATGAAGAGAGTGAATAAGAGAGAGAGAGAGAGACAGAGAGAGAGAGAGACAGAGAGAGAGACAGAGAGAGACAGAGAGAGAGAATAGCACAACTCTTGCTTATATTAGCAAGCCTGCCAAGAATTCTTTTTGCATGCTGAATAAGAGAGGCTGGTTTTTGCCGGCACTTTCTGGATTTCTTTTCTTACCAGCCTCTTTTCCTTTCTGAGGTTGACTGGGCGAGATTTTGGCAGGGGTGTCTGAGTCAGTCTTGTTCCTGTTAGTTTTCCGCAGCTGGAACCCCTTCCTTATATCTGCTAGCAAAGCATCAATAACACACACCTCTTCTTGCTTCACAGCTCCTTTCTTAACTGTAGTTGGAAATGAAGAAGAGAGTTAGTTGAATTGCTGGAGATGACAGACTCGGACCATTGGATTCTGCTGCATTTGATGGCTGCAGCTCTTTGACTTGTACCTCCCTGTACATAAGAAATAAATCTACTGAAAAACAATACCGTGTTTGAGGTGGGAGAAGGCAGTAGGAATGTTCTACCTGTGTTGGTGCATTCACACCTGCATCGTTGGATGCTGCGGCCATCCACACTGGGGCCCGTGCTCGGGCAACCATCTTAGCCCCATTTCTATCCAATAACTATTTTGTGTTCTGTCTGTTCTAGGGAGTTATGAAAGCAGCCCAGATAGAACGCCCATTTCTGTAATACTGAGTCTGGATGAATCTGTCCATTACACTATTCCTGCAGTCAATTAAATAAAATTGGATTAAAAAAAACCATGCTGACACATTTAAAGTTATTTAAAGGTGATCTAATGGTTTGATGGGATACCTGTGTCTGGTGTTTTAAACAGGTCAATGTTGTATCAAATACTGGACTCATTGCTCATCCATTTTTCAAAATCAAAACTGTATTTCATGTTGCATTTCAAAAACCAGTATGGTTGTTTTTGTTGTATTATGGTTCTATTTGGAATGTTAAAGACTACCTGGAGAGCTTTGATGGATTAGGCAGTTTAGAAGTTTAAAAATGCATATATTCTTTCCATATCAGAAATAAAGAACTGTGACAGATTTTGGTGAATCTGTCTCAAACTGAAATGCAGCCTTACCTTTCTATTGTTATCTGGCACATTGTACATAATCATTAACTTCACCAGCAATTTATAACTCAGCTCAGCTTTATAAGTACCGTTCCAAAGTACTGAGGGTGTTTTTAAGGCTGCATGATGAAAAAGTCTATTGGTGTTACACGGGAAGGCTTAAGCCTGTCCCAAGTTTAAATAAATAAACCCCAATTGTGTTGAAATGTCTCTGCCTTGTTCCTTCTCTGCTCCCTTAAATGGTTTTAAGTTAAGACTGCAATTTTTGGGTCTGCATGGAGAGAAGGCAGAAGGGCAGATTTCCAGCCTTTTGCCAATAATACACAGGCTTCACTGACATGCAAGTAGCAGTCATGATACATCCTCTCTCACTTGTCTGTCTACTGCTTTTAAAAGAGCAACATGAGTGGATGTAATATTGGCATTTCAGGCATGGAGAAAACCAGGACATACCTGTCTACTCTGCAGCTGCCACAGGTGAGGAGCTCTTTCAAGGTGGCAACCTGACTTCAGCACTAACATGGTGAGAATACTCTGAGACAAAAAGTCAGGCTTTTAAGAGCTAAGCACTCAAGGGCCCTGGGCAAAATGGTCTGTTTTAGTTTCTTCCACATTCACGTTTTTGAAATCTCAAATTCTTCCCATCCCAAATATGAAGGACTTTGTAGAAAAACATTGGAATGCTCTACTCCTTCCTGTGTGCAGTCTGTCCTTGCTGGCAGGGCAGAAGTCAAGATGGAGGCAGGGGGTAAAGGATAAAGCCAAACAGGCAACTCGTCTACCCATTTGATCATGAGTACACTTGCTTGAAATGTGTTTTACCTGGTCATGTGCTGCCTCCTTGTTCCAAGTAATCCAACAAGTAATCCTACAGCCAGCCAGCTTCATTCACAATTATTCCTCCCGTAGCAGCAAGTCTGCATGGACTCAAAATCCCTTATTGGACATGCACATGGTAGGCATGTTGTGAGTGGAGCCGGCTGGAGCTGGGGGTCAGACTAGATGGCCCAGGAGACTCCTTCTGACTCACTCTGTTTCTATGTCCTGGGTTGCAGGATCAAATTTGCAAACAAGTAGAATGACAGATACAATCCAGTTCATTTGTCTTTTGGCTGTGCAAGGTTACAAAAGTCTGCTCTGAAGTCGCATTAAGTTCAGTGGGATTTATGCCCAGGTAAGTGGGGTAAAGGATTGCAGCTCAAATCACCTGGACATGGCCCAGACTGGATGAACCAAAGTATGACTGCACTAGCAAGGAGTAAATCCTATTGAATCCCATGGAACTTACTGCCAAATCAGTGGGTATAGGACTGCAGGCTAAGTCAACAGGACTCCGTGTACTCACTGATCTTTCCATTTTCTCCTTTCTGCCTCTTTGCTTCCTCCTCTTCCAACTGTTTCTTCCTCTTCTCAGCCTTTGCTACTTGTTCCTTTCGGTCCTTGTTTTCCTGCCAGCAAAAGAAGCAATCTGCTGGTGAGGATGTTTTGAATGCATCTGAAATGTCCTTTTTTGTTTACTCTACCGAAATCGCACTGATCATTTAGACAGTGTGGGAAGGCAGCAGCTCAGGTCAGAACAGGGGTCTGTGGTAGGCGGATGAACGCAAGTACTCCCTGCTCAACTCTCTCTCCTGCCCTCTGGTGTTCAGCTGTGGTTATGTCACAAACCAGGAAACGGGTTTCATTGCTGCCCACAAACCTGATTTGCATGCCAGAATCATCTCGAAATATTTCATTAATTTAAGGCAGAGTCCTATGCATATTTTGAAGGAAAAGTCCCACAGCTTCCCCAGCAGCCATGCAAGCTGCAGAATGATGGGAATTGTTGGACCTTCATTCTATCTAAACAGGAATAGAATTGTGCCTTTAGATTTGTCTGACCAGGAATAGATTTGTATCTTACCTTTCTTTGTGATCACAAAACTCAAGGCAGCTAGCAGTAACATTAGAACTATAATAATATCTATAACAGCAATATAATAAAAAGGGGGTTGCATGTGTTTTGCGGGAGACATAGCAAATAAAGTAAGAAACAAGTAACTTAAGGGATTGTATATCAGAACAGTTAAAACCCAGCAGTAGCCAACAGGTTGCCAGGAGTCTTTTACTTCAAGGGAGAATTGCGGGACATCCACTGGCTTCTTGTTGAATCTGCAAGATACTCAGGGAAAAATGCCAAAGCTGCCTCTTCTAACACTTGCAGGAGAAAGGCAAGGGAGGGAGTCAGGGATTGGCACAAGCAGATGCGGAATCCTTGGGTGGGAAAACGAGTCCCCAGGGATCCTCTTGCAACTTATAAAATTTACAGAGGATCTGACCCAGCCTTTCCAAAGCTGTGCTCCCCAGGTATTTGGGGTGTTCACTCCCAGGATTCCCGAGCATTGGCTGTGCTGGGAGATGGTCCAGAACAGCTGGGGAGGGCATAAGGTTGGGGAAGCCCAGTCTAGTCTTTCCAACCCTGATAGCAGCCTGCTCAAAGCCAATGCACCAGAATCTAGTTCTTCCTATAAGCAGCCTCAGAAGCCCTTTTCTGAATGATGCCACTTCGGGACAGGAGATGACATGACTCAATGCTCTCCATGTGAAAATAAATTTCCCTGCATACAGAAACACAAAGATCAGGCTGTCGGGTTCTGGCCCATCCTTCCTCCTGCTGGGAAGGAAGGCATTTTAGATATGGAGACATGTTTGCCTTCTCTTCCCCTGACGCTTCTTGCAGCCTCAGGTGGTGCAGAACACAGAATCCAATCCAAATGGTTGTGTGTGAGAATCAGGCCTTTCAACCACACGACTTAATGGGCCTCAAATTCAAACCTTTAATGCTTTGATGAAGAGATCCCGGAAGGTTTTCATGGTGCTAAAGATATCTTCCAAAGACAGTTTGTTTGGGTCCTCACAGAGGTAGTTTGCGAGCTCCGCTTTCTTCATTTCAATGATATCAAACTCGTCTTCCAATTTCTGGTTAGCATTTAGGCTTTCCTGAAAGAGGAGGAGGGCCAAGTTCAAAAAAGCAGTTCATTGACAATATGGAGGAAAGCACCGTCACAGGGTCAAGCCAATCCATTCTATTTTGCGCTGACCTGAATGGCTGTTCCATACTGAGCTTTCACCTCTTCTGTCGAGGAGGACAACTTTTTCTCGAGTTCCCGCAGTTTCTTGACGTTGGAACTGGATTCCGACCGTATCACATCTAGGTTGATCCTGAAAAGGAGCAAGATGTGAATTCTGGCTTCTGTGTCTATTTTATTTATCGTTTTTATTAGATTGATGTCCTGTGTTTTCCTCTTGGAAGAAACCCAAGGTGGTTATATAAAGAAGCCCAGGGAACACAAGAGAGCTAGCTTCTTTTATGTTATTTTACATTAATTTTAATCCGTATTGAAAGCAATTCTTATTGTTTTATCTGTTATATTTTATTGATTTTATAATTTGTTGTACACTGCCCAGAGAGCTTTGGCCAGGGGCAGTATAGAAATGAAATAAATAAAAATAAACTAAAATACTGCAAAGCAAGAGGAAGCAACTTTGGTGGCTTAAGAGGCCCAATTCTCTCTTCTGGAACTTACTTGGGGTAACTTCCTTTCCACCAAAATTTGGCTGCACAATTTGAAAACAAAGCAAATACTCCCTGGGAGATTTTCCGAAGTACCATTTTCCTCAAAAGTAAGGTACATGCTTTGACATACCTCATTTTAAAGGACTATATATCGTAGTTTTCCTGCCATTTCATCAAGAAGTGGAACACACACCCACACACAGACTGGGGCATGCTGTGTCCCGCAGGCCTGATGGAAAGTATGACATTCAAAGATTTTACCTTCTCAAGGTACTGGTGTGATTTATTTGGCAACATCATCTTCTTTCCCCTGGATGACAACTTCTAAGTGAGCGAATCTACTGAAGCACACAAATGCAGACAGACACAAAGCATTCTTACCCAGCTGCCTTCGAAACACATTCAAGATCTTTGGGAAGCTGCAGCAAATCTGTGTGATTTTTTTCTACTTCCTGGATAAAATAAAAAATGGGAAAACCCAAAGGGATTAATTTGTATTCTAACCAGTTTGTCAGTGTTGAGAAGCAGAGTAATTCTAAACCTTGCCAAAGGTTGGCGTAACAGGGATCCACTGAGGGGGCGGTCTGCCAGCTCCTGGAGCTATTGGCCCGCCAATGCCCTTGCAGCAATGAAGCCGGAGCACTCTTGCTCCTCTGGTATAGCCCTCGATCAGATTCCATGCCTACACCAGCCAAGGTTTTCCTACTAGAAAAAAGTGTTTTACAACTTTGAAATTAACAAACTGGCAAATGCGGTATCTATTTTCAGTTGTAGAAATGCCAAGGGATTACTACATTAATTTTATGAATCAAATCAGTTCTAAAAATGGAACATAGTCAGCAGAAAAATACAGCAAATATTTTTTCCCGTCTCCATGTCATTGCTTCCAATCTTTTAATTAAAATTCTGGGAACAATATACAGAGTCCTAGACAGTTTATATTACATTAAACAATGTTATGATGAGCTGCACCAATCCGAAGGCCATAAAATATTACACAGACGGAGGACTCCAAATTATACACTCTAAGAAATGGGGAGCGGGATATATGTCGAATTTCCCAGTGAGAAACAGTGGAAAATAACCCAGTTTGCACTCAACGGTAGCAAACTGTGAGTCAACTAATTTAATCTCTGATTTGCTGGGCTGCGTACCATGGTAGAATTCATGTTTTGCACAGTCAACAATTGTTGATATGGCCCAGTTGTAGGTTGCTGCTTGAAATGAGAACCTGGACACTTTGGGTTATTTGTGGGTTAAACAACCCAAAGTTAACCTATGATTAATCAACTTATGATATGCCACTGTGCCCAGTGAATGGACTCAATATACCTCCAGAATATGGTGCAGAAGAGTAATACGAGTCTGGTTTGCTTTGGTTTCTGTTAGCTTGAGCAACGTGCCAATTTTGAAGCCATCAGCATCTCCTGTGTGACTTCCCTAAGAAAGAAAAGGCACAGGAAAACATGAGCAATTCTTTCTGCAATCGCAGCTGCTTAAGCACTATATTTTAGTTAAAGAATTGTGTCTTATGCTTAACAGTTTACACTGATTTGATTAGTTCATTTTGTGCGTGTATTTACAACACCCAAGAAGCCCATACTCATTTTTAAAGGGTCATTTTTAAAGGATTGCTCACATAGTTCAGAAAGTTTCCAACTTTGAGAATCAGTTGACAGAAAACGGGCAATCGCTGGCTTGTGAGGAGATCTGGGGGAAAAGCAGAGACACATTTTAAACAGGCACAACCTGAGCAATTTGAACACAGATAGCTTGGTGCAAACGTCAAAGTTGTTTTCATATTTGCTGTGCAAAAGCCAGGAGCACTATGAAGACCAGGAGAAGGGATGGGTGAGAAATTTGTTCCATTGAGGGTTTGTAAAAAAATGGATTTAAGTTATTCACACCTCCTGGAACTAAGGCAGTGCCATTCAGTGCAGCTGACTGAAACCTCCTGAACCTGGAGACTTCCAGGCATCTTATGGAGGGTGGAAGAAGAGTGAAGGTCACCTCTGTGCAAAACACTGATTCAGACAACACAGACAACTGATTCAGGCTGTTGTGTGTTTGGAAGAACAGAGGATACACTATATTATGGTACAGCCTCACATCCCCTTCCCTTGGGATGCCCTCTGACTCCAAGTTCAGTCTTCCAACCGCAGAGCCACCGTCAGCAGGGAAAGAACTGTGCTGGCTTTGAGGGCCCAGGGAGGGTACTCTGGATTCAGAGAACCTGCTCCAACCTTGGAACACATTTCCAAGGTAGGAGCTGGGGCTCTGAACTATCCTATGGCTGTCTCAGTAGCATCCAGTGGTCATAGGACTGTGTCCAAAGGGAGCTGAGATAGAGTTGCACAAAGAATTTGCATTTTGCAAGCTTTCCAATGCACGGGAAAAATGCACACAAAAGAAAAATGGCATCACAGCAGCTCAAAAAAGCATTTTTAAAAAGCAAAGCACACTTTTAAAAAATCCATACAAAAATGAGTACGTTAGGGGAAATGCACACAGAAAATCCATTTATTATACCTCTGATATCTGAAGGACATTGAAGCTGGTGAAAGGGACTTGGGTGTGGGATGGAGCTGAGCCAACCAAGTCAGCCTGCTCTCCTCCTTTAGTGATTTAGCCGTGTGGGAGGCAATTGCCTGAAGGAGGCTCTGGTTGCTATGCAGATGGGATCAGTACACTGCATACCAAATAGAAAATGGCTCCACTCCATTTCAAATAACCTGCATTAGCCTGATCCGGAGTCACAGTGTGGGCACACACTACCCAAGCTGGGTCTGCACCTTTGCAGGAGCAGACATGAATCTGCAAGAACTGGCCAGCCCCGTCTTCCCTGGCTTGGTGCCCTCGGGTGCAACTCAGCATGGCTGGCCGGGGGAATGCTGCGAGGTGCCATTTTGGATGCCAGGAAGCACTTCCTGACAGTTAGCACCCCCAGCGTGTGGAATGGGCTTCCACGGGAGGTGTTCAAAGATCGGCTGGACATGCACGTGGTAGGCATGTCATGAGCGGAGCCGGCTGGAGCCAGGAGTCACACTAGATGGGCTGGGAGGCCCTTCTGACTCTCTGTTTCTGTGTTTCTACATCAGCAGGACTTTGCTTTGGGGAAGCCTGGACTAAATCTTGCAAGACCTGGCCATCTAGAAAAGTTGTTGCTAGATGCGAAGTCGCAGCCGACCCATCGCGACCCCGTGGACAACACTCCTCCAGGCCCCCCTGTCCTCCACCATCCCCCGGAGTCCACTCAAGCTCACGCCGACTGCCCCAGTGACTCCATCCAGCCACCTCACCCTCTGCCGTCCCCTTCTTCTCTTGCCATCAATGTACTGAAGTTTGATTTCTTGGGATATCCAAGTTGGGAAGGAACTGGCCCTTCCTCAGAATACTCAGGCTACGAAGGCTACACTGAGGAGTCAAGAATTCATTTACCTTCACAGGCCCTCCTGACTGTTTCTGCTTTGGGCTGAAGCATCTCCAGCAGAACGGTGGTCTCTTCACAGACCAGCATGCACTCTATCCGCAGCTGGTAGCTGGAAGGGAGGATAGGATGGGCACCACATCAGCATTCATCAAAACTAGGGCGGACCTCTTTCGGGCTGGATTTTGTTCAGGAGCAGAGAAGATCAATGCCATGTTATGCTCCATAGAAGCAAAAATGACAGCACTGAAGCCTCATACTTTGGTTTCAGCATGAGAAGGCAAGACTTGAGAAGAAGGTAATTGTGCTAGGGAGAGCCAGTGTGGTGTAGTGGTTAAGAGCATGGGACTGGGACTCAGGCGATCTGGGTTCTAGTCCCCGCTCAGCCATGGAGCCAACTGGGTGACTTTGGGCCAGTCACAGACTCTCAGCCCAGCCTACCTCACAGGGTTGTTGTTGTGAGGATAAGATGGAGGAGGAGATGTAAGCTGCCTTGAGCCCTTTGTAGGAAAAAGGCAGGATATAAATCGAAAAAAATAAAATAAAAAAAAAGCTGAAGGCAGAAGTTGAAAATGAAGAGTGAATATGAGATGGATTGATTCCGCAAGGGAAGTCACAGCCGTGACTTGACAAGAACCGAGTAGAGCTGTCAGGGAGAGCCCCACGGTGTGGAGGACACTCATTCATGGAATCACCATAAGTCGGAGATGGCTTGGTGGCAGGTCACAACGACAACATCTAGCTTGGTTTCGCCACAGTAGAGGGTGGGGGCCGCCAGGTGTGCGTGGACAGAAACAGCCATGGTGGGTCACACGTGAGACACATCAGTGGAGGAGAGGCCTATTAGCTGCAGCAGCCAAATGGAACGGCCAAGTCCAGACCTGCTATACATCAGTATTCTCTGTGGGCTGAACATATGGCACGTCGGTGTGAGAGCCGGTGTGGTGGCTGGAGAGCAGGGATGGGGACCCAGGAGATCCAGGATCTAGTTCTCACTCAGCCATGGAGGTCACTAGGTGATTTTGGGCCAGGCACAGATTCTCAGCCCAACCCACCTCACAGGGTTGTTGTAAGGATAAAAATAGAGCTATGTCAGCCACTTTGGGTTCCTCACAAGAGGAAAAAAAGGTGAGATATAAAAGAATGTAATAATAATGATGATGAAAATGTCTTACAATGAAGGGTGCCAATGAGTTATTCATTTCGGTGCCCGGCCAAAACCTTTTTGTTTATCTAGTATTTTAAGGGTTCTTTTATCATACAATTGGAATTATTTTATTACATATTTTAATACACTGTATTTGCATTTTAATGTGCTGTTACGTTTCTGGTTTGTAAGCCATCTTGAGATTTGTTTAAGGCAAAAAACCCCAGGATAGTTATGTTTTAAATAAAACAATAAGGGGCTGATGAAGTGGGGGGTGTTTGTTTTGGCTCAGCCGTAGTGTTTCCACATGACCAGAGTTATTTTATTCTGAGAGTAAATTAAAGCATGCACCATTTTAATCTATTAAAAGAAACCTTTACTTACTCCAAAAGGTGTCCCCAATGCATGTGACTGTTCATTTTTCTCAATGCAGGTAATCTGCAAAAACGGCACCCTGCAAGCACCCTCTGCGTGAGGCCACCCCCTAAGCGCCTCTTGCTTTTGATATATTACTGTTACTAATATGCAAACTTAAAATGATAGATTAATAATCTAAGATGTATAATCAAGGGCACAATCCTGGGCATGTTTAGAAACGTTTAGATTCATCTCCCAGCATTCCCCAGCCAGCCTCGTCTATCTAAACATGCATAGATTTGCATCCTATTTTTTTAACTGGGAAACAGCTCTATTTAAAAGGAATAAGAATTCCTCTTACCTAGGAACACCAAGGAGCAGAAGATAGAACTGGTCTGCATTTGATAATTTCTCCTTGTCTTCTTTGAAAGATTTCAGGTTCTCTATCTAAGAAAAGAAGGATCAAGTTCCAACAATACAATTGCCTTTAATTGTGGCTGTGTGTATTGCACATCATGAAAACCATGTCATCTTAACAAGAATTCAACAGCTTTTGCTGCTCCCTTTCATGAATCACAGCTTGTTGAGGCATCCAAACCCAACAAACTGTGGGTAATCTTAACTATGGACTACAACTATGGTTTGTTTGAAATAGTTTGCATTCTCTCCCTCCCATCTTATAAAAATAAGGCAAAGCACGTAGCCATTGTAAGCAGCCACTGAACAAATGCAGCACTGCCCCTTCACTTCGTATCCAGAAAAGGACACCTGGAGCCCCCCAGGTTCACTTCACCAGCCACTTTCTCTATACCTTTCTCTAGCTTGGCAGTACAGAAATTATCCTGTCTTTCAACCAGCTTGGAGTCATGCTAAACTGTGTTTTGCCTGGAATAGGAAGCAAAAACGCTGAACTTGTCATAATAGCTGCAGCAGGGGAGGAGAAATGAGTATAAGGGAATGCAAGGAGATTGGCCCCCCCTCCCCCCATCAAACAAACCATTGTTTCTCATGCACTGCGACACAAAGAACCAGAGTTTGCCTGGTTTCATTCAGGAATTCTTACTTCATGCTTTTCTGGCAGGAGTTTAAGCAGCTGCTTCAGGACCTCGACATCAAACTTGGTTCGGTCATCGTTCTGAATCATGTCAACCACCTCCTGATTTGGACTATGGATAAATGAGACCGCTGATTAGATTGGAAGCAATATTCAATTCCTTTATAAAAACGATGAATGGGGAGAGTTGAGTTGAGGGGCGTGAGAATCTTAAAGACACCCAACAAAGCAGGTTCTAACAAACAAAAATGCCTTTTTCTTAAGTGGGTAACAAACTTAACAGAATTCATTGCCATGAGATGTACTGATGGTCACTGACAATTCTGTGTTTTAAAAGGAATTAGATCCATGGCAGCTTTACAGATGTGACTTTGATTATCTTTGAGTAACAGACAGCAGGGACAAACTATAGGTGAGGCCTGCTGCTCTCCAGGGAACCGCAAAGGGGGGGAAACTTTCAAGGAAGACCTGCAGCTTACATTGAGCATAACATACGGATGAATAGCAGGCATCTTATCCAGGAAGGAAAACAAGTGCAATCAAATGCCGCAAGAACACATTAGCACTGATTCAGTGATTCTTGGCAGATCACCTGCACCGGGCTTCCCAAACATGTTGGATAACAATGCCCACTAAAGAAGCTGGCTGGAGAGGGTGGGCATTGCCATCCAAATACTGGAGAGTGCCAGGTTGGGAAAGCCCGGCCTGCACAGAGCTCTCCTACTTGCTTCGACAGAAGTTCCAGAACTGTCCGCATTGTTGACTGAGTTCCCAGTATTAACTGGGCTTTCTGGCGCTCCTTGCAGTCATCAGAGCACAAATCATGTTCCAGATGCAGGACAATGTTGCAGTTCGATGGGCAACTGTATCTGGAATCTTGCCGAAATGCACAAGAACTGTGTGCACAAATGACTTACTTACAAAATTGATATTTATTTATTTATTTAGGATATTTGTATGCCGTCCTTTGCAAAAGCCTCAGGACGGCTTACACAAATAAAATACAAATATCTAAGATAACTTAAATAAATTAACGACTCACTCTGCCTGCAATTAAAATATGATGATAAAATTCAATATTAAAACTTATTAAAATATTGATTAAATAAAAAGGTCTTAACCTGGCACCGAAAAACATATAATGATGGCACCAGGTGGACCTCTCTGGGGAGCGCATTCCACAGATGGGGCGCCACTGCAGAGAAGGCCCTCCTCCGGGAACTCTGTCTTCTAGTATCTTTCACAGAGGGTTCCCAGAGGAGGGCTTCTGCTGCTGATCTCAGGGGGTGGGAGGGCAAATAGGGAAGAAGGTGTTCCTTTAGGTATCCTGGTCCCAAGCCATTTAAGGCTTTATAGGTAATAACCAGCACCTTGAATTGAACCCAGACTTCGATGGGAAGCCAGTGGAACTGATAGAGGACTGGGGTTATATGAGAATAATGCCCAGTCCCCGACAGCATCCTGGCAGCTCTGTTTTGCACCATCTGAAGTATCCGGACTGTCTTCAAGGGCAGCCCCACGTAAAGCGCGTTACAGAAATCCAGCCGGGAAGTAACCAATGCGTGTGTTACTGTTGCTAGACAATATTCTGGTCCATATTCCCATATGGAGCATTTGGAGTGGTGTACAATTAAAAAAGAAAAGCAGGTAAAGCCTATGTTACAAATGCTATCAGGAGAACCGTGGTTAGATCAGGAGGGCTTCCTGAAGCCTCTGCCTTCATGTCATGAGCGAAGCTGGCTGGTGCTGAGGGTCAGACTAGATGGCCTGAGAGGCTCCTTCTGACTCGTCCAGTTTCTGTTTCTAAGTCAATGTGTTTTCAGGTGGCAACAAAAACATTATGGCCTTGGTGCCCACCAGATCTCCAGAGGCAAGGAGTTCCACAGAAATGGAGCCACTATGCTGAAAGCCCTTCTCTGGGTGGACTCTGTTTGGTCCATCAGAACTAGCAGGGACATGCTATCAGGTGACCTCGATGGCCAGCAAGCTGCCCACGGAGAAGGCACTGTCTCAGGCATTCTGGTCCCAAGTTGTTGAGAGCTTTGTACTCTAGTACCAAACCCTTCAACTTGGTGCAGTGGCGATTGGCAACCAGTGCAGTTCTCTCAGCAAAGTAACTGCACGCTGAGGAGGGGCAACTCTGAACAACAGCCAAGCCGTTGCATCCTGCACGCCCTCCAAATTATGGATCAACTTTAAGGGCATCCTTACATACGGCCTTACATACATTTTGCAGCCTGAGGTCAATTGCAAATAGTCCCTTTCCCTTCCCAAATCCAGGTGCAAACACGCAAGACCAGCTGAGTTACTTGGGCTCTAGAAGCAGAAATCCCGGGAGCGCTGCACCTCCACAGGTTGGCAACAAAACCGAACAACACGTTACATAAGCCACCACTTCATGCCACTCAGGAGCCTTGTGGTGTCTGCCTCACTCTTGATAATGGGAAGGCTGGAGGTGGTAAAGTTGCTTTTTCGGTAAACGCGCAGTCTTCTAATGTGCTTTTACAATCATGAAAGGCTATCTCACCACTTAAATTGCTTCAAGAAGATGTTCAAATTGAGACTCTTCTTGGAATCCAGAAATGTGATCTGTTTCGAAAAAAGGAACACATTTTAAGTTCTGCTGCAGTCAACACAGCAGCAGGGGAAGGAGGCACGCCCCTGTTGGGGGGCTCCTGATCCACTGCAGCTTGCATGCTGAGCTTTGTAGGAGCTACCTATGGTGCTGAACTGCATCAGGTTCAATATAGGTTCACCGACTCCAATGCAGGATCAGCACAATGGAGCACCATCGCTAGCTCTTGCAAAACTCAGAGCAAAAAATGCAGTGCATATGGGACCCCATGGTCACAGGAAGTGAATATGAGGTTAAGCAGCATCTCAACATCAGGGAGGGGCAAGTTCAGCAAGCTTGATGCCAAGTACCTGCTTTATGCATTTGGCTACAGGTCCATAAATACTATTGGAAGACATGTAGGGCAGTAACTTGTCTAAAGTTAGGCAGATTTGGTCAGTGGAAGAACACCTAAAAAAAATGAAGCACCCCTTTCGGTGAAACAGAAAAACTATCAAGTGGGTCTTGATCAAATTAAGGCAAAACTTGCCCTGAAAGTGGAAACTGTGAAATCGAGACTGTTGCAATTCAGGCAAGTTATAAGAAGGCAAGACTCACTGAAGAAGAAATCAGTGCTAGGGAAATTGGAAGGCAGAAGAGGAAGGGGAAGATCAGCTCTGAGATGGATCGATTCTGCAAAGGAAGCCACATCTTTGGGGTTACGAAAACTCAGCAGGGCCGTCAAAGGCAGGACATTTTCCTTCATCAGTCAGAGATGGGTCGATAGTACAACAAACATAGTAACATGTTTTCACTATATGTGCATCTTTCTGTGTGTTGTCTCTTTGCATGCATACGGTTTCATAAGGTTGATAAACTGCTTAGAGCTTTGGCTATTGGGTGGCATAGAAACGTAATAAATGAAATGAATAAATGAAAAAGCACTTATGTTCTTCAGGCCTCTGTTACTTTTGCTGCTACTAAGCAACACAACTACCTCTGGTATTCATATGCACATGAATAATCTGTTAACACACTCATGTCCCACAAGGGTCGGGGGAAGCCACTTCCTCCCAACCTGGAAAGCGTCTCTGCCTGGTTGCCTGGGGGACACCCTTGATGGCTACAGGTGAGTGCACATCCAACAGTACCGACACCTGGGCAGAGGACTCATCATCGAACCATCATCCGGAGGAAGCAAAGCATCTTCATACCTCCTTTGGCTCTGTCTTCACAGGGGCCACTTCTTTTGACTTGGGCTTCGTTTGTGGGAAGCAAAACAGCTGCTCGATGCTTGTATAATCCGGCTCAATGGTTTCTTCACTATTGCTCGTCACGGAAGCCCACATGGAGTGACCCTCTGAAAAATACAAGGCGTTCTGTCTGGCTGCATCTGACAACATTATGTTCGACAGCTTCCTTTGAAATGATTGTGCCTACTGAAGCATCTGCACAGAAAAGGAACTTGACTGGGGACAAGAGCACAGGGGGAGGGAACAACGGCTTACCCTACAAGAAAAGAGCTGGGAATAAAAAGGCCCAGAACTATGGGCATTTGTTGCTGGTGGAATCTATGAAGTTACCTTATATGAAATCAGGCCATTGTTCTTCCTTGCCCAGGGAGTGGTAGAGAGTGTGGACTTCAGTCACCATGTTTCTGACCGTTGGCCATATTGACAGAGGCTTATGGGAAAGATCTGGACATCTACTTTCTGTTAACCCTTGATTTAACAGGTGATGTTCTACTAGTGAGTTTGTTTAGTTTCAGGCTCAGCTTCCTCAACCTGTGTTAACCTTAGTTTTTTTAAACAGGGGAGAGGCCAGGGATGAAATCGTCTGCATTCAAAACACTGAGTTCTGACCGTAACCCAGACTGATTGGAAAGAGGGCCATTCATGACATGGAATCAGTGGCTTGCACAATGAACTTCAAAGTCCTAGTGAATCAACGCTTAACATCCCAGGGTTCTAGAGGAATTCAAAGATTCTATCTTTGATGCTGAATTCCTTCACAGTCATGCAGATCCCTAACCTGCATGCTTAGCATTTGACTTAACCTTCAACAACTTTGCAAAAAGCCCCCACACCGCTGAATTAAGTTGTCCAGGCATAACCTAGCAGATATTAATATGAGGGTTCTTCAAAAAGTTTCCACACTTTTTAAAACTATTAAG